AACTCAGTCTCATTCTGAGCAATAACATCTATGAAATCACAGGCCTGATGTGTCCATGGGTCTGTGCACCATCTAAAACCTGTAATTCCCGTGCTTTAGAAGGCCAAGACATGAGGACTGCTTGAGACGAGGAGTTTGAAACCAACCTGGGCAACATAGTGAGATTCCATCGCTGGACATGGTCTGTAGTCCAGCTACTTCTGACACTAAGGCAGGAGGATTGCTGGAGCTCAGGAGTTCGAGGCTGCAGTGAGCTATGATTGTGCCACTGAATGCCAGCCTGGGTAATAGGGAAAGACCCTGTCCTACATAAGTAAATAAATAGTTTTTATTTTAAAAAATCCTTTGTCACCAATCTAAGGGTACTGAAATTTGGGGAAATATTAGTTCTTAGGATTATATATTTTTTTAAGCCACAGATTGATTAACCTGTCTAAATAACACTGGCACACCCTTTAATTGGTCTGCTTGAGACAGGATGTTTCAAAGACTTTATGCCTTGTGCTTTCCCATAGCTCCCAAATTTTTATAATAAGCAGTGATTGCTCCTGTAACTAGAAACCATTAAAAATGTTGGAAAATAATGAAGACATCATCTGCGTTTTCCAAACACAGGGAATTGGGCCAAGAGCTAGAGGCGGGAACAGCCAGACATTTGCCAAGCGAATCCAAAAGTTATTTCTGTGGAATAACTGCAAGGTAATGCTTAACTATCTGTAACCCCACCTCACTCCCTTCTTCCAATTGTTGGAATTAGAGGAAATTTCATCCCTCCTGCTTTTCTCCCATAGCCAGCTGTCACCGGGTGTGTAGGGGACAGGAAACAGGATTACAAGATTAGCAGTGAGCCTGCCATTCCTGCCTGGCTGTTATCAAGGCTGACTCTGGAGAATCATATTCCCCACTTGCCACTACTGACTACAACTTGGGGGGTGGGAAAATGACCCAAAATAAATTCTGAACAAGGGCAAAATTGGGAGCAGTGGGGAGTTTTCCCCCAAATTAGTTAAATTTTACTGAATATTAGACTAGGAATCAAGCACTCTGTAGGCCTTTGCTCATATAATTTTTACAGGAACCCTAGAAAGTAGAGGCTATACTTATCTATGCCCCTTCTGCAGATGAGAATACTGAGGTTCCATGAGGTTAAATCACGTACTCCAGGGCACATACTGATAAATGCAGAGCAAGAATTGACCCCAGGTTTGTCTGACTCCAAAGCCCTCTGTTGGAACCACTCTTCTTCACTCTTTCTCCTTCCCCAAGGACATGTCCAGAGACGTTGGCCAATGACCTTGTCTACTCCCCCAACCCATCAGTGGTTAGTTCAGCCCTATGGTTTCTGGGGCAACTCCTAACATGGCCACAAAGACATACATGGCTCTTAGGCTGAGTGGTTTGACTCAACGCGTCAATTACTGGCTTTCTACTGATGACTAGCCAAACCTTCCCTCCATTCCATCTGCAAAGTTCCTACCCATTAAGGACACCTAGTCCAGGCCTCAAGCGACCTGCAATACCTTGACGGATGGTTAGGACAGCCAATGCAGGCCAAAGAGGAGTCATCTGCCTAAATATATAAACAGCTGTGTGACCAGCCTGGGCAACCTGGGGAGATCCTACCTCTACAAAAAATACAAAAATTAGCTGGATGTGGTGGCATGTGCCTGGACACCCAGCTCCTTGGGAGGCTGAAGTCAGAGGATCACTTAAGCCTAGAAGGTTGAGGCTGCAGTGAGCCGTGATCGAACCGCTGCCCTCCAGCCTGGGCAACAGAGCGAGGCCCTGTCTCAATATCAATCAATCAATCAATCAAGAAGTAAGTAAACAAACAAAATGAACATGTGTTTAGAACTTTAGGAGAGTTGGCCAGGGGCTGTGGATAATGTCTGTAATCCCAGCACTTTGGGAGGCTGAGGCAGGAAGATCACTTGAGTCCAGGGGTTCTAGGCCAGCCTGGGCAGCGTGGTGAAACCTTGTCTCTACAAAAAATACAAATTTAGGCCAGACATGGTGGCTCATGCCTGTAATTCCAGCACTTTAGGAGGCCGAGGTGGGTGGATTGCCTGAGGTCTAGAGTTCGAGACCAGCCTGGCCAACACGGTGAAACCCCGTCTCTACTAAAACACAAAAATTAGCCAGGCATGGTGGTAAACGCCTGTAATCCCAGCTATTCAGGAGGCTGAGGGAGGAGAATCGCTTGAACCCAGGAGGCCAAGGTTGCAGTGAGGGGAGATCATGCCACTGCACTCCAGCCTGGGTGACAGAGGGAGACTCCGTCGCACAAAACTAATAATAATAAAATAAAAACAAACAAATTTAGCTGGGCACGGCAGCGCATGCCTGCAGTCCTAGGTTCTTGGGAGGTGGAAGGATCACCTGAGCCTGTGGATGTCGGGGCTGCAGTGAGCTGAGATCATGCCACTGCACTCGAGCCTGAGCAACAGAGTGAGATCCTATCTCAAAAAAAAAAAAAAAAAAAAAAGCTTTAGGAAAGACTCCCTTAATGACTGACATCTGAGCTCTCACATACCTACACGTGCCCACCTGTCTCTCCTTTCATGGCCGGCTGTCATCCGTCCAATCAGCTTCCAAAGTTCCAGGCCTGAGTTGGACACAGAAAAGCCTGGAGGGCAACTGGTAAAGTTTGAGTGGCTGATTCCCAGGAGGGGTCCTGGTGGGAGACATGGGCTGACCACACAGTCTGTGGCCAGGGAAAGCTTCTTGGAGGAAGGAAAAGCTACAAGGAGACCCAGTGATGGTTCTACAAGGAGACCCAGAGATGGCCTGGTGAGAAGGAGGGGAAAGGGTTTGACGCAGACCAAATGTGTGTTCGAAGGGCCAAAAATAAAGGAAAGAACACAAGTTTGAAGCCTTTCCTTTAGCATGATTGACACATATTAGGGGGACACTGGTGAAGGACAAACCTAGGAGGGGTGGCCAGGCCCCATGGGAAGGGCATGGCCAACCAGGCAAGAGTCCAAACCTTATACCAAGGGCAACAGGGGGCTTGGACATGTTCTCCACTGCAAAGAGACCTTGCCTGATTTGTGTTTTACAAAGATCTCTATGGTGGCTGCCTAAAGAAAGTCCCTGGAGGAGACAAGGACTGAATTTAGGTCTCAATCAGTTAGGAGGCTGGTGGCGGCTAGAGTTAGCATACTGGCAGAAGAGGGCTGAATTCTGAGTTATGCTAGAAGGTATGATCAGTAGGACATGGTAACTGGTAAAGTTTGAAGGGATAATTCAAGACACCTTAAATCTATTATTCACCCCCTGCTCTTGACCTTGTAAAAAGGAGGGAAGCAGTGAGAGATGATGAAACCCTTTGATTGCAGGCTGGAAAGGCGATTTCCCTTCAGCTCCCACCTGCACAGCAGGAACTTGGCCTGTAGGTCTGAGAGGTGACTCTGTTTGGCAATGACCAAGCTATCTTAATGGCAAATCACCATCAGAATGGGATAGGAACAAAAAGTTGGCACTCTGAGCCCAGGGTCATGAATAATTGAACCTCTCTCAGCTAAAACACAATATTTGTTGTCATCTTTTCCACTGACCCTGTGACCCAATTTCAAAATGTAGATGCTTAAAACCAAAAATAAATTTTAAATAGCAAACTCAGAACTTGCCTATTTTAGCCACAAAAAGTACCTTGTGAGTCCACGATCTTGAAGGAAACCAATTTATACAAACAGGAATCCATAGGAAACCAATTTATGAAAACAGGAACATGTGCACACATGTACCACACTTCTTGTTTTCTTTAATGTTTGGAAACACGGTCATTGTCTTGTTTTGTTTTTTTTTTTTTTTTTAATATTTGGAGACAGGGTCTTGCTATGTTGTCCTGACTGCAGTGCAGTAGTGTGATCATAGCTCACTGCAGCCTCGAATTCCTGGGTTCAAGAGATCCTCCTGCCTCAGCCTTCTGAGTAGCTGGGGCTACAGGAACATGCCACGTGGGCTAGCATTATTTTTTAAAAAGCACGCAAAATTTGACCTGATAAGCCCACTATCTAAAAACAATTTTTCCATTGCATGTATTTCTAAACCTAATATTAAAACCATAGATCTAAGGTCTTTCTCCCTTTCTGTTCTTATAGGTCTCTTATCTTTCTTTGAATGAATATATCTATCTGCCTGACTCTCCCTTTCCATGTCTTCCAGAAAGGATAAGGAAAACATCCGAAATGATCTCATTTTGTTTTGAAACACTAAACCCACCAAACAGAAAAAAGAGAAAACACTACACACACACACACACACACACACAACACACACACAAACCTTCCTGGTCAGAGGGATCAAGATGTATTTCTAATTTGCTTGCCATATGGTAAGTTATTTTGGAAGCACATCAAGAGGTAGAGAGAATGTTCCACAAAATTGGCAATGCTTGTACAATCCTTTCAAATCAGACCAAATTCCCACTATGTACATTTGCTACAGCCCGTTCTATTCATCATATCAGCAACTATGACCACAGGATATGTAAAAATACCGAGCAATTTTTAGCACCAGCTTCCAATCCTCCAGTGCCCTGGACACCACATGGTGTCAAGTTTGTCTGTATTTCACCCTCAGGAAATCAAGTCATTAACTTCTCTTTCATTTACCAAGAGCTGTTGCCAAAAAAAAAAAAAGCATTCATCGGCTGTGACTTATGGGAAGAAAAAGAGAAAGGGTTTCCCTACAGGGAGAGAGACAGCAGAGAAAGAAGAGAAAGCTGTACCTTCTGTTCCCTGGGAGAATGGAGAATGCCAAACTCTTTGTACCTTCTCTCCACTAGAAAATGTATTCTCCAGGTTGCCCAATGGTGCCAACCACATGTGAGGGTTAGCAAAAAATGGGACAGAGGGGGCTCATTCTCCCCATTTCTCTGTGCCTGGCATTCTGTGGGCAGGAAGGCTGGTGGAGGGAGGTGCTGGGTTGCTGCTGGCTTACCTGGGTAATTTGAGGGGTATGTGTGGAGGAGAAAGTTGAGGAATCCACTTTCCTACCTTTGCATTCTTGACATTCTGTGCAGCTCCATGTCATCACTGCCCCGAAATCCTTTGGCAAAGGGATTATTCTCGATCTTTAATTGCGTGATCTGAAGGAAAGAGGGAGAGAGAGCAAGCTGGTTTTCACTTGATTGCTGCAAGACCACCTCGGGACATGAGCTAATAATAAATGTCATGGAAATGCAGCCTCTGGCAACCGAAAGAAGCAAATTAAGCCAGTCACGTCAACGGGACCCACCACTTCATTCAAGTGGAGGCTTTGAAAAATGTCCTCCATTGGACAGCTTTTAAAAGGGGAAAAACACCTGGATTTGGTTTGCCCATTAATTGGAGTCATACTCTGCATCATTCCAGCCGGGTTCTTTTTTTTTTTTTTTCCAATCTTGCATTTTGTGTTTTAAACACCATCTAGGCCTCAATACTCAGTACCCCCTCCCCTTTGGAAAGCTGTGCATACTGACATGACTGTTGCACATCCGGCAGCGTGGTAACCTCCATTTGGAAGGGTTGACTCCATCGTGTGTTTCTGCAGAAAACATGTCTTGATTATTGCATTCAAAAATTCTATTATGCCTCTTTTCATGTTCATTTCATAGTTTTGCAGATAGCGTTTGCTAGCTCTGGTGGAAAATGGTGTCTAATGAAATAAGCACCAATATGTATAATGATAACATATATAATAGCTACTGAACAGCACCAAAGCTCTTTAATGTCCAAAGCAAAGAAGAGAGGGTTCTATCTTGGAAATCTGTGTTGCAACATACAAGGCGTAGTTACAGAACAGGGTCTTTTTACACATTTTGGTTTCAGGCCCAGAACTTTAATTTAATCCATCAACACATTATATTAGTGTGAATGTACAGTAGCAGACCCAGGTGACAGAATGCATCCATATGGAGTTTGCTAGAAGTATTTCCTAAAAAATTGCATGTGAACTGAATTTTCATAGAGAGCATAGAGAATCATGCTATATACATGAGAGCAGCATGACTCAAACTTCGGTCATTCAGAGTTTTCTTTCACTATCATTGCCATATCTATACAGTGTCTGTACACTGGCTTAACATTTTTATTTAAGTCAAACCACTTTTAATTGACATTTATTTCACACAAATATGATGTCAGTTCTTTGTATGACAAACTAGAATCACTTGCTATTCAATAAGAAGAAAACAAACATATGAAATTGTCTCTACTCAGACCCAAAGCTTGCCTTCTCTTTGTTGCAAGTGGGAATTAGACACTTTCAGAGTAGTTAACACAAACCAGTACTGAACTGAGACTCCCTCTCTAATAGAATACTAGAAAGATAATTTTAAAAAGAACAACTTTCAGCCAGGCATGGTGGCTCATGCCTGTAATCCCAGCACTTTGGGAAGCCAAGGTGGGTGGATAACTTGAGGTCAGAAGTTCAAGACCAGCCTGGCCAACATGGTGAAACCCCATCTCTACAAAAAATACAAACAAAAAAATAAATAGCTAGGCATTGTGGCAGGCTCCTGTAATCCCAACTACTCCAGAGGCTAAGGCAAGTGAATCACTGGAACCCAGGAGGCAGAGGTTGCAGTGAGCCGAGATCACACCACTGTACTCCAGCTTAGGCAACAGAGCAAAACGCCATCTCAAAAAAAAAGAAAGAAAGAAAGAAAGAAAGAAAGAAAGAAAGAAAGAAAGAAAGAAAGAAAGAAAGAAAGAAAGAAAGAAAGAAAAGAAAAGAAAAGAAAAAGAAAGAAAGTTTCTCTGTGATTTCATCATATTCAAGTATCCCTAAAAGTCATCTAGAGTCTATCCCAGTAGTATAGTTACAGATTTAAGAAACTATGCTTGATAAATCAATGTACCCTCTAATTTCTTCATTTGAAGAGAGGAGGAATTCTTGTCTGTTCTGCTTTCTGGAAGAGATGACCTACAAGGTTTACCTCTAACCCCAAGACTCTATATTGAAAGTAAAATTATTGTATGTATGTGTACCCATGTGTATTCACCATAAACACAAACATACAATTAATATTTTAAGATATATGATTCCAACTATACAACATTCTAGAAAAGGCAAAACTGTGGAGTCAGTTAAAAGGTCAGTGGTTGCCACAGGTTGGAAAGAGGGAGGGATGAATAGGCAGAGCCCAGAGGATTTTTAGGGTTGTGAAACTACTCCCTATAATACTATAAAGGAGGATACACGTCATTATGCATTTATCCAAACCCATGGAAGGTACAACATCAAGAGTGGGCTCTAACGTGCACTATGCACTCTGGGTGATGATGATGTGTCAATGTAGGCTCATCAACTGCAACAAATGTTCCACTCTGATGCAGGATGTCCATGGTGGGGGAGGCCGTGCATGTGGTGGGGAGAAGCTATAGGGGAAATCTTGGTATGTTCTGCACAACTTTGCTATGAACCTGAAACTGCTCTAAAAAATGAAGCATTTTTGTTTTGCTGTTTTGTTTGGATATGGGGCCTCAATCTAACACCCAGGCTGGAGTGCTGGAGTGCAAACATAGCTCACTGCAGCCTCAAACTCCTGGGCTCATGCAATCTTCCTGCCTCAGTATCCCAAGCAGCTGGGACCACAGGCATGCACCACCATGCTGGGCTAATTTTTTTTATTTTTATTTTTAGTTTCAGTTGAGATGAGGTTTTGCCATGTTGTCCAGGCTGGTCTGGAACTCCTGAGCTCAAGCAATCCTCCTGCCTCGGCCTCCCAAAGTACAGGGATTACAGGCCGAGCCACTGTGCCCAGCCAGGTTTTCTTTGTTTTTTTGTTTGTTTGTTTGTTTGTTTTTTGCTTGTTTTTGTTTTTTTTTAAATGGAGTCTCACTCTGTCACTCAGGCTGGAGTACAGTGGCACAATCTCGGCTCACTGAGACCTCCGCCTCCTGGATTCAAGCGATTCTCTTGTCTCAGCCTCCCAAGTAGTTGGGATTACGTGTGCCTACCACCACGCCTGACTAATTTTGTATTTTTAGTAGAGAAGGGGTTTCACCATGTTGGCCAGGATGGTCTCAAACTCCTGATCTCAGGTGATCTGCCTGCCTCGGCCTCCGAAACTGTTGGGATTACAGGCAGGAGCTACCATGCCCAGCTGAGCCAAGTATTTATTTATTTATTTATTTAGAGACAGGGTCTCACTCTGTTACCCAGACTGGAGTGCAGCGGAGTGATCGTAGCTCACTACAGCACTGACCTCCCAAGCTCGAGTGATCCTCCCGCCTTGGCCTTCCAAAGTGCTGAGATTATAGGCATGAGCTGCTATGGCTACCCTAAAGTCTATTTTAAAATATTTTTAAAGTAACCGTGTGTGTGTGTGTGTGTGTGTGTGTGTGTGTACACATTCTCCCTCCCCCAACCTTTTTTTTTTATTTGGGTTTTCAGAAAGACAGAGTCTCACTATGTTGCCCAGGCTGGTCTTGAACTCCTGGGCTCAAGCAATCCTCTAGCCTTGGCCTCCCAAATTGTTAGGATTACAGGTGTGAGCCACCACACCCAGCCCATTTTTGTTTAACTGTGTCTATTCCTTTAGCTTTCAGATTATTTATTTATTTATTCTTTATTTTTTGAAACAGAGTCTCACTCTGTTGCCCAGGCTGGAGTGCAGTGGTGCGATCTCGGCTCACTGCAACCTCTGCCTCCTGGGTTCAAGTGATTCTCCTGCCTCAGCCTTCCCAGTAGCTGAGATTACAGGCGCACACCAGCACACCTGGCTAATTTTTGTATTTCAGTACAGACAGGGTTTCACCATGTTGGCCAGGCTGCTCTTGAACTCCTGGCCTCAAATGAGCCACCTGCCTTGACCTGCCAAAATGCTGGGATTACAGGTGTGAGCAGATTGGCCTCAGATTTTTTCTTGACTCTTCTGAATGAGTAGAAAAATCTATAAAATCCTTTTGGAAAGTCATCTTAAGATGTGTACTCCTGCATTCACTTGTATTTTAAGAGTCTAAACACCCAACACCTAATGGGATTTTCTTTCTCACTCAGGCTTTATCACAATGAAATTTCACCCAGTTGGCCATAAATCATCTTTTAATGGACTTGCAAAAAGTTAAGGAGAAATAGGTCATTTAAAAGTGGATGAAGGACATCTTTTCCTCCCACCCCCCACCCTGCCCCATCCCAGTCTCAGAAGTAAATGTCAAAGATGGTGAGGCTGTGACACCAGCATTTAGCGAGGATCTGAGCATCAGAATTAGTGCTCAGTCCATGATGTCCACCGAGAACTCAGAACAAAAAATTGCCCCAAGGAAAGAAGAAAAGGGGGAATTTTATGTTATCAGCAAAAACCTTTTGCTCAAATCCATTCCTTACACCTCAAACAGATTGGCTATTCCTAATCTTGTGCTTACCATCATAGCTTGCAAAAATATGATTGCACAGGACAAGCACATTTCTTATATATTCACTTAGGTATGTTGATCTTTACGTGTAACTTCTTTTGGAAACTGATTATAGATGCCTATATGACCTAAGAATTACCCTTGAGAAATGTCAACATACAACATACATTATCTGCAGGTCAAAATATCTGTCCACTCACATACTACAGCCATGTTTATTAAATTCCCTTCCTAATATGCTGTGTGTTAGATCGTGGACACACAAACTGATACACCTGGATTTTCCAGTTCCACCAAAAGACTTCAGTAAAACTTTCTTCTATTCACCATGCAAATGTACTCCCTTCAAAATCAACATAAAACCGGATATCCGGGAGAGATTTGGGAGTGGGGGAAAAACAAACATAAATACCAGCTCCAACTGAGACAGAGGTTGTAAAAATTAATGAGAATAATTGTTGTGAATTCTTGCTTTTGAAAAAAATTTTTAAAACCCTCACGAGGACCAAAAATCTTAATTATGTCTCTCTATTAAGGGTTCATTTCCTGGTCCCGACCAGAAAGCTCATACCTCATAAATATAGACTCCTTACACAATGATTTAAGCAGGAGGAAAATGCAAAGTTAAGTTAATATCTGGGGATAGACATTGCTTGCATACACAGCCATTGTTGCAAGAACAGGGAAATGAAATGCCCACGTGACGTTTTTTAACACCTAAATATTTCTAGGGATTGCTCTGGGAGCTGCTGACAACTGCAGTGAAAACTTTACAAAAACGTGTTTCACAGAATGAACGTCGCTGGGGAAGATTTGAGTTTTTAAATATCTTTTTCAAGCTGTCAACCACCTGGGGAAATAAGTCCCAAATCCAGTCCGAGATCACAGCTGGGCTGAGGAAATGTGTCTCGTCATTAGGGGCCCTGTGGTATATGGGTATGTGATTGCAGCCTAAGAAATGAACCCTGTAGCATACCTATCTCCACCTGGTACCTACATCCAAGGAGAGAAAGATCATTCTGAAGGCAATGTGCCCTTTGACCGTAAAAACGGTGGCCCTTAGTTTTCCAAATTGTCTTGGCAATTTAATCATATGCATTGCTTTTCTTTCCCTGCTCATTTATCCAAGGCAAAACGCTAGACAAATAGTCCTTGAATTGATGACATGATCAGGGAATGAGCCAACTAAACCACAAAGACTAATATTTGCAGTTGTTTTTCAACCACAGGAATAAGAACTTATTTAAATTCCCAGTCTTTCAGATTCTAAACTAGCCAGGAAGTTAGAATGAGTAAGCAAAGAGTTTTCTGAAGTCTGTGTTTCGGATGGAATCGCCCTGTTAATAAACTGATCAGCTAACTAGTTAATCAAGGGTCTCATCAATCATTACTAATGCTCTGCGCTAGCTCTCTGCCAGGTCCCGCATGACACGCTTGCCGGGAATTATCTCATTGAATCCTCACAACAACCCTATGAGGTGAGTTCTCTTATTATCCCCATTTTACAGGTGCGGAAATGGAGTTAAATCATTTGCCCAAAGTCAAATAGGTTTGAACCAAAGCAGTCAGCCTCCACAGTCATCCACCTTAACCCTATGCGATGGTGAGCTCAGCTGGCTTCTACCCATGAAGTCAGAAGTCTCAACACCCGGTCCAGGTGGGACAATAAAGTAGCAAGACTGAGTCCACAAATCACATGCAACCCTGGCCCGCTTATTTAAATCACACATCATATATCCATGTGGGAAATGTTTGCAGGGGCCCTGCACTTGACTGGGAAAGTGCACAGTTTTGGATTTGCTCCTGAAAAAGAAAATAGGTGTCTTTGGTGCTCTAAAGTAAGAAGTGGGGGAGGGAAACAGAAGGTTGTCTTCCATGAAATTTCTCTCCCGGATATCAAGGAATCTGTCAGGCTGGCTAAACAGACCTTTATGCACAGCTCAACTGGGCTCCCTGACTCAATCAATACAGAAAAGAAAAGCAATTATTGTGTGTGAACCCTTAGTGTGGCCATCAAATACACATATATCCAAATGCATATTTGAAGACACACATTCTTAGACACATGATTCCCTACATTGTGCTAAAAAAAAAATTCACACATACATACCCCATTGGGCAGGCAGGCATTCATGCACATCAATCACTAAATATGTGCATTGGGAAGACATTTTTAAAATAGAAATGTAAAGGGTATTGGGCATATTCACAAATGGTTGCAGTGACAGTTTCACAGGTATACATATATATATATATACACAAGAAGCTTATCTAATTGTCTATTTCAAATATGGCAGTTTATTGGATGACAATTATGCCTCAATAAGCCTGTCAACAGAGAGAAGGAGAGAGGGAGCGAGTTTTCCCACATCTATCCACACCTGATGAGTCTTAAGACCATAAGCATAAGCACACAGAATTTAGGGTGTTTCTTCCAAAGGACCTGAGCACTCAGATGGCTTTTTAAGCAAGTCATTTTAATATGTCTACCCCTTCCTGTTCTCCTGTATGAACCTGAGCTTTCTTGGGGTAGACAGGGGAAAGATATGATATATTTTTGGACCCCTGTCTGGTTTGAGAGCATGTAAGTATATACATATATAGGAAGAATTGAGTTTCCTTATTGCTATTTTTTTTTCCTGGGACCATCACCACAAAGCTAAACACAGGTTTACAGCAACCATTGAGGGAAACAGGTTTCAAGCAGCCAGACTCAGATTGGCCTGAAATAGTTTTACATCTTTCAGGACATTCGACCCTCAGTTTTGCTCTTGCTGGTTCAACAAGTGGAAGGATACTCAGAAAAATCCTCCTACCCATTTAAAAAGGAATGGTGTGTTGAGGGGAATGAGTTTTCTTTGCAAGGGCGGGAAACTCTCTCTCGACCTGGGTTCCCAGACAGGCCTTGTGGCCTGGAAAGACTGTCTATCACAGCTTGACCAGTTCACAGACGATCTGGATTTGGACATTACCCACAGCATTTTGGAACAGTCCCAGCCTCAGTTGGGGCATTCTCTGCCAAGCCAGCCTGCACTGGAATGAACTTCGAGGGGTGATGGGAGGATTTGGGGTGCTAAGCCTACCTCTCACCCTTTTCTGGCCTCTCCTGTCCGGTTCCCAGCTCCTGCAGTTCCCCCTCCACTCCAGCCTTGCTGGTGGGGACAGGAACTATGAAGGAGGTATTGGGGGGTGGGGGCGCACCATCCCCAAATCCATCTAGGTGACCTGCCCTCAAAGATCCCATATGGACCCCCCTCCCACCTTGCCCTCCCACAGCCTTCTAAGCCCAAATCACTGCTTAATACTCCTAACAGTCTACAACCCCATGAGGGCAGGTGCCCCTCCCCCAGCACCTATTGTTTGCCTCTCCAGATTTTAGATATTTTCATAACAAGGCTTAGGAAACATTAAATCCCTCCTGCCACCCGCAATAAAACGAATCCACAAGCACTTGGGTATCTAAGGAACAGAGGTGAATCCTGACAAGCGGAGACAAGCTTTCTCCTAAGGAAAAAGAGAAGATCCTCCCCCTACCCTCCAACCTGCCGCTATAGGCAGCCTGCTCCAAAGTTGTTGTCAAGCTTTGAAATGCCGAAACCAGTGCCTGGATTTTGAACCTCACCGGGTCTGACTTTCACACAATCCATCCGGCAGCATCCCGCCCCCAAACCAAACTGCAGCCACCTTCTCCCAAGCAATTCAGGTGTGCCTTCCCCTCACCAAGCTGTGGTTCTGCAGGCTCTTGTCTAAGTCCTGGGAATGTTATCCCAAGCTGCTGGCGGCGCAGGTTGCTCTGTTTTCATTTTAACAAGGCAAACCTTGCTCAAGAATGTGGTCTGGAGTCAGTGATTTCTGAAACAATTAGGGAAGCATCAGGAAAGTTCAATCCTAAGGATCCCAGCAACTTTGCCACCTGCACTGTTGCCAGTTGAGTGGCAAAGTTGGGTGCAGTGGCTCATGCCTGTAATACCAACAATTTGGAAGACCAATGTGGGAGGATCGCGTGAGACCAGGAGTTCAAGACCAGTCCTGGCAACCTAGCGAGACCCTGTCTTTACAAAAAACAAAAGTTAAAAATTGACTGGGCATAATGATGGTGTGTGCCTATAGTCCCAGTTACTCTGGAGGCTGAGCAGGAGGATCTCTTGAGCCTGGGAAGTCAAGGCTGCAGTGAGCCATAATTGTGCCACTGCACTCCAGTCTGGGTGACAGAGTGAGACCTTGTCTTGGAGGGAAAAAGATTAAAAAGGCGGAGAGAAGAAAACTGACCCCAGCAGAAATGATGGCCCCAGAAATGAAACGGCAGCTCCAGAGCCATGCGATAAGCAACCTTTCTTCCCACTAGGCATTTCATAAGGTCAGTGGGATGCCTTCTTGTGGCATTTGAGTGTGTGGCCCATCTATGGTTTGACAAGTTTGTTTCTAACAGGTGTGGGTGCATACATGTGGTTGTGACTGTCATGCCAAGCCCGTGGATATACTAAAAACAGCTGAAACTCTTAGGCTGCAGCTTTGTCCCCACGCCAGCATCCTGGGGTCGAAGTTGGTGACTGCTGCCATTCAGAGGAGCAAAGTTCCAGCAGGAAACCCTTGCAGATTCATGCAAAAGAAAGAGCAGATGGCCCCAGGCACCGGTTCCCGGGCTTCGGGCTTCGGGCTTACCTTGTGGTTCTGGTAGGAAGTCACTGCTATAAACGCTGTCTCAGGAAAGACGTGAGTGCAGAACGCTGTATTTTTTGAGCCAAATCCATTATTTTCATCCGCTTTCACGATGTGTAATCTGGGCTGGTATTTGTGCATGGAATTTAGAATAATCTAAAAATAATAAAGAAAATGAGATTGTAAGAAAATCAAAACTCCCTTTGTCTCCAGATAAAACCCTGCTCCCCACCCTCTAAATTCGCCGTGTTATATCGGCTCTCGAAAAATAGGTATTTTTCTTCTGTTTTGAAAAGGTGCCAGGGATTTCATTAAAAAGAAACATTTCAAAAATAACAATTTCCAACTGAAAAAGCCAGGGTAATATTCCAGGAATCTACCCAAGGCACACAGAGCAGTAAATCAGAATTCTTAATAAAGTTTGCTTAATAAATTAACTCCCTGCATAGGGCACTTCCCACCCCCAACGGGAGCTGAGCAAGTCTGGATCGAGGAATCCACGTCTGGAGGGAAGCCTGAACGGCACTTTTGGATTGGCGGGTGGTGTGAGGGCACGGGGACAAACAAACAACAAACCTGCAAATAACCCCCACTCCCCAAATCTCTAAGGGATGCAAGAGAAGATACCAAGTGTTTGGAAAACTGAAATGTATAAAACAAAAAAGTCACCAGTTCTCGGCACAGCCTTTTTCTGAGGCTTAGGGTGGGTGATCAGACCTCAAATCTGAGGCCTTTGTTTGGAGAACAAGCAAAGCAGAGTTAGTGAAAAGAGAAGATATTTGGGGGGGCGCAGGTGATCTGCCCTCCAGGGACGTCAGCTCACAAGGTGTGGGGAGGAAGCACCCCCAACACCCCTCAAAGAAGGGGCTTGAAAACTCCCTTTCTCCAGCTTTATCACGTTTCAGGATCCATAACCAGAATTATCTCCACTCTTGACCCCAAACAGAACGGCTACATCTGCTTTTTCAGGAATATTCTCTTTCTACTTCCTATCTTCCCCATATTTAGGGGTGCTCCCAGGGACAAGAGGGGTCCTAACTGCTGTAGTTGTGCTGTTATTTTTACAACCACCGTTATCGTTAGGAAGAGAAGGAGGAGGAGGACTTCCAGGCTGCGTGTTCTTGCTGGAGCCAGGGCTAGTCACAGATGAGCATCCTCACCAATAAAACCGGGTTTGTTGTTCTGATGAACTGGATTTTGATGCTCCCGGGAGGCTCTTAACGCTAATATTTACCAAAACGCTCTGATACATCCCCACCGAACGTGCGAATTGCCGCGTTTAACAGCCTGAAAATCTAGCCTGCCTTTTCCCGGGAGCTGCGGAGGTTGTCTCGGTGACTTTGATTATTTGCATTGATGACCCTGGGGCAGGATTCTTGGACCAACCCCGGAGCCCGGCCCCAATCGGGTGGAGGTAGTTGGGGGAGGGTAGCCGCGGCCCGGGCGGGGGAGGGACGAGGAACTCTCAGGCCCCGCGGCTGCCCGACCCCGGGCCGCGCGGCTCTAATCTCCGGCCGCCGTGGCCCGGCCGCCTCCCCGGCCGATAGCGACGCCGACCGGGGCGGCGTGGCGACAGAGAGACTCAGCAGGGCCCCGCTGGCCGCCACAGTCCCCGGCCGGCGGGGCCATCGGCCCGGCTTAGCCAAATTGCTTTGACGGCTGGGGACAGTGTGGAGACAGCAGCGCGAGGGCGATCTAATGGCTCCTAATTTCATTAGGGCGGCTCTGAATTAAAAGTCCGGAGTTTGGGGTGGGAATGCCTGGCTTCTAGGCAGTTCTGAGCAGCTCCGAGTCCCTCTCCCCAGCTGGGAAGGGGACTGAAGCTGGCAGGGATGCCAGGAATTTGGTGGTGGGGTTGTGCACCTTCCGCAGGCATCCGCCCCAGAGAGACCCCAAAGGCACTCCAGAGGAGGAGAGAAAAAGCTAGGAGCTGAAATGAGTGGGAACCGTCCCACTTCCCAGCGTCAAGGACCACGCAGGACCCCACCCAAGGCTCCCATCCTCCAGAAGGAGCCAGCCCAGAGATGCAAGTGGAACCTTTAGAAATGGCGCTGGTTTTCCCTAGTGCTGGTAAGGTATCCGCTGGGGACTGGCAGATACACAGTCAGAGCGGGTCAGCCAACGCCCACGCAAGCTGAATTTACAGAGCACCTCCTGGGAAGTCCAGCAAGAAGAACTCGTGGGCAAAACACCAGAGTTTAACAGAGCGCCTCTGCATTTGCCTGAAAATGCCTTCGGTGCCCTCCCAGCAGGCTCCACAGAAAGGGAATGGTTCTTTCTCCTCTCCACCCACGTGCTGAGAGCTGCATTTACCCATCAGTGGGGACCCCGGGGATCCTCTTCCCATTCCAGATCCTGGGGACTTCAGTGCTTCATCCCCAAGGCCTCAAAGGAGCAGATTTCTCGTTCGGACCTTCATAAACCATCCTCCCCGCCCTCTTGACAAAATTCATTCCCTCCCAGGCCCCTCCTTTCCCTGAAATTGGCGACCATGGGCCTATCTGTTGCTCCTCTTTGAAACTACAACCTTACAGGACAGGGAACCCCTTTTGTAACTAGAGAGACCTAGCCGCAAATCTCTGCTCCCAAATATAGGCTGTAGGACCTTGGCAAGTCACCCCCTGTCCCCTGGACTCTTCCTGTACAAAAGTTATGCCTCTCCGTCCTCCCCCTAGGCTGCAGTGAGAATCAAATGCCCTAAGATGAATGTACACACTTGTATGGCAGAATCATCCAACTACAAGTTCTAAACGTGAATTCAGAATACGTATTCTGTTCTAGTTATTAATTATCTCCTACGATGAGATCTGGGGACATTTTTTCAAAAATCAGCGTTTTGTGTTCTGTTTTTCTTTGGGGAGGGGGGGTGATGACCCTACTAAGAATCCACTAAAACCTACACATTCTTTTGGGTGGTGGGCAGGCTGCACATTCAATACCCTGCATTCAGTTTCAGGAAATTCACCAGTCCCCTCTCTTGGGTCCAATCCAGACTCCAAGTTTAGGACGCCGGTTTAGGATCGCCTGCTCTGGGCACAGTGTGGAAAGGGAGAAAGCTGGATGTTGAAAAAAACAGATCTCCCCAAGAGTATCAAGCTAAAAAGTGGCACTGGCACCATAGTTTGCCTCTTATGAGTTCATTTCCCATCTGGAAAAGAGGGGGCAGGTGAGCTAGGCTCTCCCTCTCCCCTGGAACATCCCAAAATTAAGGCAGGATTGGGAAGTGGGGAGCGAAGGTATATGGCTTTCATTGTGGTCCAGCCTCTGTGCAGTCTATACTGGGTATCCACTGGGCTAGAATGTCCATATTTTCTGCAAGACTGAAACACAGCCCTCCACTCCTAACCACAGATCGAATTCACAGACTCTCCAGGCCTGGAATGAGCAGCTTTAGTCATTCCTCCATCTCTAGGCAAAGGGAGAGGGGTTGGGCCCTAGCGGCAAGGATGCAGTCTCAGACCAGGTGAGCTGGGGGCCATATCTCCAGCTGCCAAGGAGCTACAGACCCAGACTTGGGGAGTGTGGATCACAGGGAGGACTGCGGAGGGGCACATATCTGCCTAGGAGAGTAGTGGAGACAGAGGATGAAGTAGTAGGAAGAAAAAGAAAGTAAAGGGAAAGCGAGTGAGAAGGTGAAAGAAGTTAACAGAAATGAATGAGAGAAGAAATGAGACAGAGGGGAGGAAAAGGAAGAGGAAGGAAGTCCAGATCAAGAAGGTAGAGGCAGAAAGTGATGAAAGTGGGGGAAAACGGAGGAAAGAAAAGGGGAAGTGTGGGCACACAGAGCCAAGAAGAGAGAGAAACCCAGTGAGAAGAAGGGAGAGAGGACAAGAGGCAGACAAAGCGTGGAATCCAGGCCACAATACTCACATGCCCAAATGGGTCCAGGTGGTTGTTGGTGAGCTTGAGTTTCTGGAAGGAGACGAGCTGCCTCATCCAATGCGCCCCGGTGGCGGGAGAGTCCGGGTGCACGTAGAGGCGGCCGGGCATGGCAGGCTCAGCTTTGCCGGTCACAGACCTAGATGAAGGAAAGGTGTGACTACAGGCCTGGCTCAGAGTCTGGAGGTAGCGCACTGCACCGAAGCGTGCTTCAGTTCACGCACCAGGTGAAGGTTCTTGAGTAGTAGCTGGAAATAAACTGGAGGCCCTCCCGTCTCCCTTAGGTATCTGCAATCCCAGGTGCCCCAGCGTACTTGGTGCCTGGGTCCAGGCAAGCCCCTGGCCCAGCCTTTTCTTCTTACAGCCTCTCGCATCCCACAAATAAGTGGCGGGTTCTGGAGGTCTGGACGTGCAAAAAGCCTTGAAAATTCCTTGAAGGCTTTCAACGGGGACTTCATCGTCAGGCCCCTGCACTGCTGGCAGCCATGGGAACAATTCTACCCAAGAAATGGGCCTCTCCTCTCTTAACTGTTTAACTTGAATACCACGAGCCGATTTTGCAATTTCATAAAAATGCATGTTCAAAGCAGGTAACTCATAAAAAATAACTGTAAATGGTTTTATGCCCCAGAAATACCTCCAGCACTTGGTAACAATACCCTTTGTAAAAATCCACAACCTATGGGTGCAGCGATAGATACAGGCACCTCACTTCCTCTGAGCCTCCGTTTTCTCATCTGGAAAACCGGAGCTAATGGTTGCAGTTTCTTCGTCTGAGAATGGTTAGTAAAAAGCAATGGGATAGGCGGACAGACGCCTTTAGCACACAGTAGGAACAACAACAACAAAATGTTCACTGATTCAACTTCTCGGGAGAAGATTCCACTTTTCTCTCTCCCCGCTCCACCTGCCAACCCAGTGCCTACCATTTATTATCTGCGAATTTGTATCTGTGATCGTCGGCAGGTACAATGTCCATGAGAAGAATGTACTTCGTTTTGGGATTAAGGCCCGTCACCTTCACTTTGTAACTGGGAAACATCCGCCTAAGAGAGAGGGACGGAGGGAGAGAGAGGGGCGGGAATTAATGCCAATACTTGAAGGCAGCCTCCATCCATTTTAATGGAAAAAGCGATTCCTGGAGAAACGTGGAAGCGGAAAATAGCCCCGTTCCGCTCACCGCAAGATCCATCCCGGGTTTCCCTTGAAGTTATAAGGAGGAGAAAGGCGAAGGGAGGAGAAAACAGCAGGCGGGCAACTGTAGGTATCCTAACAGGAAAACAAACCAGGACGCATGCGCCTTTAGAGAACGGGTTTTGAAGATGCTTCAAAGGGACCTCCATTTCAGCTCTTGCTAACTGCCTTTTTCAGAGCCAGACACCTACTATTAATATTTGTGGAGAGAGGAGGTTTATTAGGTACAAAGCTAGGCGCCGATCCTAGAGGATCGGTCTAGCCAGGTGCTTCCGCCGATCCTCGCGGCGCTAAGGTGTCACGTGTACGCAAGGTGTGTGCGCCCCAGAGACGCACACGCGTGGGTGCGCACAGGCTTCCCGACCTGGCTTTGGTCCTCTGCCCCTGGAGGAGGGGATAAGCCTCGGTTCCCACTATAGCTCGGTTGATGACCTCTGATACTGGTCTCTAGCAGTTTATTCCTGAATACCCCCACAATTTCTCCAAGGGGCCTGACACTCTTCTTTGGAGAGTCGAAATTCCATGGCCTTCAGCAAAGAAATTCCAGACCCTTCCAGATTTGGTTTCAGAAAAAGCTGAGGCCTGAACTAAGATCGAGTCGTTAGCAAGCCGATGGCCCGGAACTGTGCCGTCTCTGCTACCTTTCTGCCCCCCGGCGCACTCCAAATTTCCCTCCACCTTCTAAAGAGCATATCCGAGAAAGCAAAGATTCTCAAGGCTGGCCTGGGGGGAAAAGACAAGTTGGCAGATCTGGGCTCACTCAGCGATGACGGGAAGGGTCGAATGGAGGCCTCTCCCTCCGAGCCCCGCAGCCAAAGCCTCGCGGTGTTTATCAGCCTGAGCGAGTGCGCCCGGAGGCGGAGGCGCAGCAGACTTCGCAGGCCTTTTATAGTTAAACCCTCACGACTCCGGCTGGGGGAAAGAGGGACTCGGCCGTGTCTTTCCTTCCTGGGGGACTAGGAAGAGGACTGCAGTTAGTTGATATAAACAGTACGCGCCTCCTAGTTCACTCAGGGCTTGGGCCGAGTGGGGAGCAGACTTTGTTTAATTTTAAATAATAATAAATGTCACTGTTGTCAGTTTATTGAGGGAGGCTTCGGCTGGAGAGCGGGGCGGGGAGGGGGGGCGTCTGGAAAGGCGGCTCCACCCTCCGCCTTCACACACTCGGTGGCTTGGGCCTACCGGTCGCCTACTCCACACGCCTGCTCGGGACATCCTCTGGCTTTTTGCTTTGCGGGACGCGGAAGACCAGTCCAGCATGAAAAGGGATGTGGCCAGGACGTCCCCAGACCTGAGCGCGCGCGTACACACACACACTCACACACTCACACTGACATATAGAGCTGCACCACTCTCCCTCCTTCTTCCCCAGAAGTCTAGCATTTCTAGCTAAAACTCTGCGAGCTTTTAAGGGGAACTCCGGGGCGAGTGTCTTGGCGAAGCTGCTGTGTTTATCGGTGTCTGTATATAGAGCCCGGCCGAGCCCCGGTTCAGTTTCAAAGGCTTCGCCAGCTTTCTATAAACAATGAAAGAGGTAGCGAATACATTCAACGATTCAGAGTTTGACAGTCGGGTGGGACCCTGGAACCACTCCATGGTCAGGGAGGGTGGGAATGAGTGTGGAAGTAAAGAAAAAGTCCAAGACCCCTGAAACCTAAAGACCTTCTAGACTCTGTCTTCTTCGGGTCTGTTTTCTGTTTTTTCCTTTCCCTCTTCTCTCTTTCCTTCATTACGAATCCAGATAGCACGGCCTCCCAAGCTCTTTATTCTTTTTATATGTGAGGTGGGAGAAATGCCCAGTTTCCGGACTTGAACTTTTGGAGTATTTCCTCCATCCCAGGAGAGATCAATGGAGGAATCTCCCTGTGCCTCTCTAACCAGGATCTGTCTTTCTCTCTTTCTCTCTATCTCTCCCGGCCTCCTCCTCTATTCTCTTCTTTCTCTGTGTTCCCTCTCCTATTGCCCCTTTCCTTCCCTCTTCTCTTCCAAGCCACCTTTTCTTCTTCACCTCTCCCGCAATTTCTCCTCGTCCCTCTCCTACACAACTAACCCTCTCACCTTCCAGCCTTGGTTATGATCATTTCCGTGCCCACTTCGTGGAATTTCAGCCACAGTTCTCTTTCATGGAGAAACACTTTGATTCCCTCCATGCCCTGCAAGAAGGAGAAAAAAGTCACACTGACAAGCCCTGGCGGTAGTGGGCATTCCTTCCCCAAACTCCCCCAAAACACAGAGACTCCTCCTCCTTCCCACTGGAGCCTGTGGTCTCAGAGGGTAAAAAGTGGCCTCAGCCTACTGCAGAATTATCTGGAGCACCCAATAGCCTCTGCCCAGGGATCCCTATGTAGGCTGAGTCCCTGAGGTTTGCACCAACCACTTGAACCCACAGTGCTGTATTGTCTCCTTCTAATGACACCAGCACAAGGCTATGGAATGATCACCCACCATCAGGGTGCTTCGGAATGTCACTGAGGAGGACCAGAATAAGCAAAAACCAACCAAACAAACCAAGAAAAACTAGAGCCAATTTCAATCCACTTCACCTGAGATACAGGGAAACGAAAACAAAAACAAAAACAAACAAACAAAAAACCTAACCTAGAAAAACTAGAAACCTAATCTAGAAAACCACTCAGAATATTCTTATGTAGATGCTCAGATGCCCACACACCAAACATACAGATATACAAATACTTGCTTATTCTCGGCCATGGGGGTACAAAAATGAAGATATATGAATTTTTAAACTTAAAAATGCTTATATTATCATATGGTCTCACAGTCCAGAACGAAAATTAATCCTAAATATCTATATTAACAAACCCTCCAGGCTCTCCCTGCAAGTAGCTCTATCCACATCCAGCTATTTTGATTATAGGGCAGGCCTGATGCCATTTCACATTTTGGCTTTCGGCTAAAACTACATTTATAGAACCGATGCAAATATAAACATATATACACATATATACATATGTGCACACACACATACACACACAAACTCTTCATTTTGGAATAATTTGCAACAGTCTAAAAAGTGGGTTTGCTTTTCCTTAAAAGAAAAAAAAAAATCTGTAAGTTTCCTAAACTGTGTTCACGCTCTGCTTCTCTACAAATATACACACGTTTTCCTGAAACTTAAAGGCCAAAGAAAGAAGCCGGGAAAACCCAGGAAGGACATCGAAATCCCAAGCAGGGTTTTAGCTATGTGCAAGTGTCTCTTCTGGTCGTCACCCCGTTTCACACCCCCGTGACACCTTATTTAAAAATCACTGGGATCTACTGAGGGGCCTACTTGAGCGCCCAGTGCGTCCCGGGTTTGGGGCGCAGAGCGCAAGGTGAGGCTCCTCCCTCTGCCCAGGCCCAGCTGGTAGCCTGGCGAACCCGAGGCTCCTGGTGCCCTCCGGGCGGAGCCCTGTGCGCTCCCAGCGGCGGGTGATGGCGCGCCAGCCAGCCAGGCCCCGACCGCAAGACAAATGGTGGGGCGCGCGGGTCTAGGCGGCGGCGCGGAGGAGGCAGGAGGAGGCAGGAGGAGGCAGGAGGAGGCGAAGGCTACGGGAGATCAGAAGAGGGGTCAAGCCATCGCTCATTGCGGCCTGAAGCGGCCGCTGACCTGGCCCTTATTAAGATGCTGAGGGCCGACTCTACACGTAGTGCTGCGGGAAAGGAATTATCTAGGCCATTGTTAGCTGACCCCAAACAGCCGGATAATTGAGATTTGTCGAACAATTTAAGTAGATTTCAAAAATCCTTTGTAAAGATAACCGTCACAATAAAGTGAATGACAGTACTCTAGTATTTGAGGAGACAGGGCAGAGAAAGGTGGAACTGAGTGGGAATAAAAAGGAAAGGGGATGATTACAGTCGATGGGTTTGTTTTGCTTTTTATTTTTGTTTTTGTTCTGTCCCTGCAAGAGGAGCCGAGCAGGGAAGCCAGACTCTGACTTCGATCTCTGCAAAGGGACCCGAAGCGCGAGGTCTCCTTACCTGCTGGGTGAAGGCGGCCTGTGGGGACGACGGAGACTTGCTGGGGGCCCCGAGCGCGCTCTCGGGTTTCGAATCGCAGGGCAGGTCTTTTGCATCAGGCTCCAGAGGCGTGTGCGCCAGGCCAAAGCCCTCGTCTGCGTCAGCCATGGTGCGCCCGGGGCCCTGTGCCCGCGCAAGGTTCTGCTCTGAGGACAAGAAGCAGGGGAAGATGGGGGTGGGGAGGAGAGAGAGAGAACGAGAGAAAGGTTGGAGAGCACAGTTCTAGTGACAGGAGAGAGCAGTTTGGCCCCCAGTTTCCAGCTACCAGCACCTCCGTTCCCAGCTAAAGGAGACTGCAGAAGGCCCTAGAATTATTACTATTCCTAGTATTCCTAGTATTATTACTATTACTTTATGACCAGGCACAACCTCTTGCAAAAGACCCGCGTCAGACCCGGAGGAGGCAGGCCCGCATCTCCCCTGCGCAGGCTCTCCGTGATAAGCAAGCTGCCCGTCAAATTTGTCTGGACTTCTGGAAGAGCCAATAAAGATAAGGCGTGGGTATTTTTGGAAGCCACTGGGTAGGAACCAAAAACAAAACAAAACAAAAACCCAGTGTCCTTTAGAGAATTTCTTTCTTCGCCAAATTACAAGATGCCGTCGGAACACTTTTTATTAAACCTCACAAGAGGAATAGTTTCCTGCAGCAGGCAAATATGTGTGAAATAACCCGCCTCTTGCAAAAACAAAAACACAGGAGAGGGGAACGTTATGCAGATTGAGACTAGGTTCAAAAGAGAATTCACATACATCTTTTATCAGTTACAGGCCTAACATTAAAAGTCCTTTAAAATTAAAAGTCCTTTTCTTTACCCCAACCTTAAATTAAGTAAGATTCGTTGAAAGATAAAAAGTAGCCAAACAGAAGACTGAATGAAGAAAGCCACCGTGCAGCGGTTCTGAGGGAGGCTCGTCACTGGGTGCCCGCCACCAGAGCTCTGCAGCCGGGCCGGGGATGGCGGGCATTTTGTGGAGTGACCAGGCTGAAGGGGGTTTCTCTGAACTTCAGCCAGGCCTGGCTTGCTAAAACTGCAGGCCCAGGCTCGGGATTGGCGAGGACAAAGTCATTATCGGATAAGTCCTAGGCTGGAGGCATTGAATCTGCGGCCCGGGTCCCCGCAATGAACAGAACGGCCAGGGTTTGCAGGCGTATGAGGTTGGAACACACAAAATAACAGCCGCAGAGCTGTTCAAGCCCAAAGAGCCTGTCTCCTGCTCTCTGATCTCCTTCCAATCTCCTCTATACTCAAGTAGGAATTCCCCCCAAAACGGAAAGACTTTCGGAAGCGGGCACAAGCGATGGTCCCCCAAAACCTTAGCAGCTGCTTAAGCAAGGGACCAGATCCCACCCTGATCTGCAGTGGCCAGAGATCTAGAAATGGGGCCGAGGAGAAGGACAGCTTCTGAGGCCTGACTCGCAAGCAGCTTTCTTCGCCTCGTTCTCCGGGCTTCAGGGAGGCGGCGACTGGAGCTCCGCAGCCTACTCACAACAAAAGAAAGCAGGGCTGGCGCTCCCACACGCGCTCCCATTCACTGCCGGCCGCGGGGAGAATCCTACCCCGCGCCCTCGCCAGGGTCCCGGGGAGCTCCGGGCTGGCGGAGACGAACAAGATGCGGTTTGACAGAACCAGGCCGTGCTTCCTGCAAACCTCAATGCCGCTCCGCCAGCCGCGGCGGCCTCCCGGACTCCATTCTCCGCGGAGCTCCGAGTCGCGCAAAATCTCTGCAAGCTGCGCTCTGCAGAATGCAAAGCCAGGCTTGAATCCGCCATTCCCGCCGCCCCAGCCGACTCGGCCGACTAGCTCCCTCCTGAGCCTCCTGGGCCATCTGCCGGGACGGTTACCTCTCTCGGTGAAGCCGGTGCATTCACAACATCCTCTGTTGCTCCTAGCAGGGAAGCCGGCGGCGAGGCGGGGGTGCAGGCATGGTGGCTCCGGGGTTTATGCGGAGTTTACTGCGTACCCAGAATAGCGGCTACTGCTGCTTACTAGGGCGCACCTACCGCTGGAGCCTCCGCGGCGACTGCCCCCCTCCAACACACACCTCCTCCGCTGTGCGCTTGCTCTCGCTAAATACTTCCAAGTTGCCAAGTGCCAAAGAACACAAAATAGCCTCCAAGAGCACCGGCAACCATATAATCTCAGTGCCCCGCTCCTCCCTTACACCCCCAGGGAGGGAAAGTTGGGAGCCCAGTGAATGGTCGAAGTCCTTTCTGGGCGCAGCTTTCAGGATTAAAGTTCCCGAATTCGAGGTAAGAGGCAGTCTCTCTCTCTCTCTCTCTCTCTCTCTCTCTCTCTCTCTCTCTCTCTCTGAAATACAAGCCAACTCAGCTGAGCACAGTGACGTTGGGTTGCCTCGATGCTCACAAAGTACTGAAATCGCCTATCCAACTAGATCCCACTGCACTCTGCCGCCCTCCCCCTTCTCCCTCCCACCCTCCGGTCCTCCCTTCCCCCCCACAACTTTTCCACTAGATTTCCCGAACACTCAAATCACAAACGACTCACAACCCAGACCTGCAATAACTCCCTCCTCTCTACCCCTTTCCCAACCTCCATCCATCTCTGCTTCTCTGAGCAAGCAGTGGCTGCAAAAACTCCTGCACAAATCATTTCAAACTCGGTCGGCTTCTAACCGGGAAGTAATCTCAATGACGCTGGCGGTGCAGAGAACCGAGTCTGGAAGCACACACACGAACACACCCCGGGCCTCCGCAGCCTTGCAGACGTTCTCTCCAACGCTGACCTCGAGAAGGAGAGCTGCCTGACCCCGCCTGGCCGGCGCTCGCCTTTCTGACATCTCTCCTCCACCCCCTACTCATCACCCCTACTCTCAACGACTCTAGGGTGAAGGCAGGGTGAAGGTGCATTGGAATGGGGGCCGAGATCAAAGATGCCAAGAAATCGCTGCGGGCCCCCACCCCCACCCAGTGGGGCCACCAGACCTCCCCTGCTCCAGGTGTACACAAGGCAGTGCCCAGTTTTATTAAAATAATCAAACAGTCACTGGAGACTGGGGAGGGTTTTCATCTCCGCTGGTCTCCTCTCCTTGCCCTTCCCCTCTCTGAAATGTATTTTTTTTTTTTTTAGGGTGAGTTGAAGAGGTCAATAAAAGCATAAACACAGTCAGTAGGTCTCAGTCTGAGCAGACCCAGATTGGGACACCGAATATGGGTGCTTGGAGTAAATGTCAGGAGTCCTGCTCTGTTTCCCATCCTTACCTCCTGTACCCCCATCGTCCTGATTTTTCTAGGGTTCTGATAAGAGACTTGGGCCTGCAAGTCAAGGTCTGGAGAAAGGGATGGAGGGAGGAGAAATGCCCGAGATCAGCAGTTGTGTAACCCTCTGTGGCTGCTCTGCTAAAATCCCAGGCCAGGCCACTGCTGCAAAATGCCAAAGTGGAGAATCTCCAACCCTAAATGTGGGGCAACCAGGGAGAAAACCAACCCTCCTTTGCTATGGTGCTCACTCCACCTTCCAGGTTTGTTTGCGAACAGATCTTTGCCCAGGCGTTTTATTTATTTGTGAAAACACCCTCACCCTCCAAGTCAGCTTGGAGGCCTTTGGGCTTGCTAATAAGGCGACGCTAGGTCGAAGACACAAAAAACAAACATGGTATCGGAAGGAGGCTGAACCGCTACATCTCCGGTAGAGGGAAAGGGAAATCCAGAAAGACCTCCCCAATCCCTTTAAGTTCTCAGAGATTTGGGGATAAAATTGATTCCCATAAATAATCTTCAGGCCCCTCCAGAGAGGAAAAATCTGGACTCTCCCAGGTAATAGCCTAGCCAGATTTGCTTAGTTCATTGAGCACAGATGGTCTGGGCCACCAAGCAAAATAGGGATTTTCAAACCTTTCGAGAGAATCCATTCTTGCCAGGTGACACACGAAGCCATTCTTATTTTGTTCATGAAAAGTAGCAGCACAGCGAGGGAAGGTTCAGCTAGATCAAGACGGGGTGAAAAGCCAAGGAGGGCCAAGTGCAAAGAGAAACCTATTTCCCCCCTTAGTCCTCCAGGGCGAAACTCACCTCCAACTATCCCACCTCTTCTTCGTAGCGCAAAAGCCAGGAGTGCGCCTCGCTGGAGAGGAGGGCTCAGGTGAAGACTTCGAAAAGGACCCCCCAAAAGAGACCTCTTTAGGCCAGGTCTTCTTCCAACGTCTGTCAAGAAGAGCACGTACCTCCCAGCTCAAAGTTGGTTTTGTGGTCTCCGACAAATTAAATATTACTGTTTATTACCAGGCATACCCCAATAAAATAAAGAGGCAACCAGGCGATAGCGACTATCTCACCAGCCGCTGCACCTATAGGACTTGGAGACGTCACGAGTCACGCAACCGGCCCGCGCTCTGTCACGCTTGGCTGGGGGGCAGCGGCGGGAGGTTAATTTCTCTCCGTCTTCGCATATCAGTGCCGGGTCTGCGCAGCCACAAGTCCCGGACGTCTTGGCCCCGGGAATAAATAAAGACATAAACCAACCCGGCTTTCTCCGGAGAAATGAGGGTGATGAACCTAAGACACAAACAGAGCCAAGATCGACTTTCTTAGGAAGGGGGAGAGGAGGGAACTCTTCACGAAGGGAGGTGGGAGTCCACCTCAGACCTCTATTGGAAGGAAATCGAGTTGTTCCGGGAGACTGAGATCTCTTGCATAAGGCATGGGATCCTTATTATTTAAAAAAAAAAAAAAAAAAAAAAAAACCCGCGGAGGAGCTCTTGGCAAATGAATATCGAGGCGCCGCTCTAGCTGGTTAGGCTTGGGATGCGATAACTGAGTGCCCTCCTGCAGACTTGCATAGAAATAATTACTGGGTTGTCGTGGAGGGGACACGAGACAGAGGGAGTTCTCCGTAAATGTGTCTTGCTGAGAGAAAGGTCCAAGAATGCAATTCGTCCCACAGTGGCCCGGCAGGGGCGGGGTGCGAGTGGGTGGTGGAGTAGGGGTGGGAGTGGAGAGAGGTCATTTCTGTAGAGAATAATTATAGCACCAGGGCCCGCCGAGGCACGAGGCACTCTATTTTGTTTTGTAATCACGACGACTATTATTTTTAGTCCGATCAATGAGCATAATTTCTATGTAGTCCAGCGGTGGATGCGCGCAAACTTCTGCGCACCGCTGGAAACCCACTAGATTCAGTTGCAGAACGTACCGCGTAGACGCCCCTGGTGGCGCTGAGAGAAGAGCTAGGCCTGCCCAGCACAGAGCCGGAGAGCGTCGGGCCTTCCGGAAGGGTAAGTTCCCCGTCAAGGGGTCCTGAGGGAGCCGGACGTCTGAATCTGGGCTTGCCCCCAGCTTCGGGGTTCGATCCTGGTTTTTGCGCGTCCCTAACCCCCAGGGCTTTCCAAAGCATGGCCTGGCTCCAGGCCCGTTCCGCTCGGGACTGGAACGGCAGCAAAATGTGCAGGGAGGCAGTCGGCCGGCAGAGCTGCTGCGGGAGCCAAGGTCAGGCCCGTGGGGAGAGCGGGCAGCTTCCAGCGCTGGCCACGAGCTCCCAGGCCAGCTGGGCTGCAGACCCCTTTGCTTCCAGAGAGCACAACCCGCGTCCTTTCTCTCGGCCAGGCTGCAGTGGCTGCCCCGGGCTTCGCTTTCGTTTCCCAAGTTGTTAATAACGATATTTTCCCAAATCCGAGGCTCGTTCGGTGCAGCGTTTTCTCCCAGATGCCAAGAACGCAACTTGAAATCCTTCTCCCAAACCCTAGTTCGATGAGATGAGTTCCTATTTGACCTCTGAGCCGAGGCGGGCCGGAAGCCGAGGCCTAGGCCCCGCCGGGGCTGCAAGGGAAAGGCGAAACTCCGAGCGTAGCGACTTTTCCATGTGATTCCTTTCTCTGGCATCCCGGACCGCGGGCCTTGCAGCCACCTGGACCGGCATTCAAAGGTTTCTACAAGTCCAGCTTCACAGACTGGCTCTCCCAGACGCTCCGGAGCCCGCACCACGAACAGAATAAAGGAGAGACGAGAGATCGCAACTAGGTTTGAGAATCCTGGTTCTTTTGCCTAATCGTTTGGGCAGTAAACTCCGGAGCCGGCTACAGCGCGCATCCTCCCTTCCTCCTTTCGGAGAACTGTCGCTTTCCCGAACCTGCTCCCAGCTGGGTTTTCTCCCAAAGTTTATTTTTCTCGTTTTGCAAAATTCCTGCCCTGATTTTAATATTGCAACAGGACAGCAGAGGTTCCTCTTTAAAAAGTCAAAACCCAAACCAAAGGGGCCGATTGCTGTTGATAATTTTTTTCTTCACTTGCTCCTTCCGTTTTTAAGAAAGACACATCCAAAACTACCCATTGTTTTTCTCTCAAAAGAGAACTCACTTTCAAATGCATCACCATCTATTTCTCTCCCGATATGTCCCCACCTGACCCGGTGGCAACTTGGGGGTGTGGGGTGGTGAAAAATAGAAGTGTGGACGGGGCTGGGAAAATGAATAAGAATTATAACAAGAGAAATGATGACAAAAGTAAACTTTGACCAACTCAATTTGCAAAAGAAAGGGTTGGTCTGAGGGTGAGACATTCCCTGGTTTCTCAAGGGGGTCACTTTCCCTTTTACCCAGTTCAATCTGGCTCTGTTATATTTTTTCCAGGAACACAGTATGTCTCTTCCCAATGTTTTATTCGGTTGCTGGTTTCCCCACTTCTGACCGGAGGTATGCGGGAAGAACACTGGCTGTTATTATTATGATTATTGAGTATCCAATACTCTCCTCCAATATTTCCACCAAGAATTATTATTGCTACTCTCCTCATTCATGTTAGTGTTGCTTCGTGTGCTTTAGATAATAATTGTCCTCGTTACTCTCCAAGTTTTTTGTTGTTGTTGTCGCTGTTGGGTTTTGCTTTGTTTTTGCTTTTTGTTTTTCCTGTTCAGGGTAATGAAATGAGAACTGGAAGAGGCGATATCATTTCGAGGCCCAGCTGAGAAGGATCCCAATGCTAAAAATGTACACACTTCGAAGAGCAGAAAGGTGGAAGCGAGTGGTGCTTGGACACAAGGATGCCACTGTCCTATCTCCTCCAATTTGGGAAGTGACCAGCCTAGAAAGGTGAGGGTCCCAGCTGGGAGACCATGGAGTCCCTCCAGGGTCACACTGAGCCTGAGAACTCCAACCATCCTGCAGGTCAAAACCCACTGATAGGTCTCCCAAAATGTTTGGGGTAGGGGAAGAAACAGACGGCATTCCAGGTCTGTAACCCTGTAAGAGAGAGACTCGGACTGATATGTCCAGGTCTAGGGTGAAGGTGGGGGGCCTGTCTGGACACCTTCTACCTCAATCGAAGGACTCCTTGGAAACCTGGGAGCCCAGTGCTCTCCGGGACTCAGGAAAGACAAATTTTCTTTGGCAAAGGGAACAGTGTCGCGCTGTCGACAGAGCAGACTATTTTTCTTGTTCCCTCACAAGGTGGGGGTGGGGGGAAAGAAAAGGAAGCAAGAAAGAAAGGGAAATTAAATCCACACGTGTTAAGCTCGCTCAAAGGGCCAGAGTTAAAACCAGAGATGAAACTTCAACTCCAGCTCTGGCTGTCTGCGGGCCTCTTTCCAGCCAGCCAGGCCTCACAGAGCAAGGCATCCCCACCGGAGAGAATTCGATCTGATGTTTCATAAAGTGCTTTATTTAAGGAGAATGGGTGTGGGTCTGTCTCCAAGTCTATGCTGCAGAAATCCAGAATTTGCAGCGGCAAAGAAAACAAAGGAGATAGCAATTGTAATAATAATGACCCTCTTTACGAAAACTCATCCTGATATCCTCCAAATCAACACAACAATTCAGGCAATATTCAATCAATGACCATTAAATCATCCAGGTCATTGATTTACAAAATTCCTAAGGTCTGATCAGGCTTTCGGACTTGGGCCTAGCTGGGTCAAGAGAACCTGAAATGCTGTTGTGTTGATTCTGAAATCACCAGTTTAATCAGGACAGTGAATCTCTACATCCTTCATGCCTCTCTTATGGGGAGAGATTTTCTTGAGAGAAGACACGACAGGTCTCAGCTACAGAGCTCTGGTATACATGGGAGGGAGTGGAGGCGGCCACCCCGCCTGGAACTGTGAGTGAAAACTCTAGTAATGACCTTGAGGAGGTGAAGGGAGGTGGGTGGGGGTGTGGGTGATGAGGGAGGCCAAACCCCAATCTGGAAGGATCTGTCACTGAAACAATTGCTTGGTCGAGACCTCTAATTTTTCTTCCTCTCCAACTAGTCTCCTATGGCTCCCTGGTGCTGGGTTTCTGGCCTTTGGGACATCCTAACAGAAGGGTCCAGAAACAGGGACCCCAGACACCTTGCTCCCTCTCCCAAATCACACCCAAAACATACTGGGGTGAAACAACTGACAGAGGCTCTCTGTGGCGAACAACTGACCGAAGTCGCCAGTGGAAAAGTTCCTGATAATTATTTCCGCAAGGACCCTGAATTTCCTGGTCACCATGGCAACCTGGAAGTCCCACCGAATGCTCTCAACAATGGGGTACCCCGAGGACATTCGCGCAATTGGCTGCACAGTCTGAGGCCTGAAAAGCATTTCTGCCTACCGTTCTTGACTTTCTGGAGCCTCCTTAGTGGGTTCAACAGAGCAGAGATTTTTTAAACTGCCCCCTTTCTTAAACAGGAGAGAAAATTGAGGTTTAGTACCAGGTGGTTCAGGTCTTGAGCAAAATCCCTGTCTTTGAATTCAGAATGCTTACCCCAGAGCCGATCGTGTAAAGCCTATGGTGTATCTTAATCGAAACCCGTGGCCCAAACATCTCAGCCAGGAACCCGGGACTTTAGGTGTCACTTAATCTCTTCACATCTGTTAACTACACCTATCTGCATAGGAGGCCCCCCACATCAGTCCAGGCAACATTTTTATTTGCCTGGGGCCATTTCTCCTAAATGGAAGGAGAAAAGCCTGAGCATTAGAAATTGTGGCATTAATGTCTGCAAGGGCTAATGGAGTGAAAAGAATACATTATTCTTTTCTTTTTAGAAAAAAATTTCTATTGTGGATGTAATTGAAATAACATTAAAATAATATTTCTGATTGCACTGCTTTCTTCTTGAATGTGTATCGGGGCGGGGGAAGTGGCTCTTTTCATTTTGGGGTGGACAGTGGATAATACAGGCTGATTTTCTTGTGCCCAGCTCGGAGGCACTGAGCCTGCAGGGTTTGGGAGCAATGCAGGCAACCAGGAGAGAAAGGGTGACAAAGAGAAGGCGTCCAGGCCTCGGAGGTCTTTGGCGGTGGGATGGGAGCAACTCCTCCTCTGGGTCCTCTCTCAGCTTTGTTCCATTCTGCTGCCAACCCCATCTTTCTCCCAACTACTCAGGAAAGACAAAATTTAACTTCTCTCCCCCTATTTCCGATGGGACATCTAATGTCCCTCAAAGCCGCTGGCTGGCTCTGTAGTGCCTCCACCCATTCCTTTCCCTTCTGAGAGCCCAGGCAGCCTACAGAGGTTCTCATTTCTAACCGAAGGCCTCCTGTTTCCTTCCCTCCCCAGCATTTTGCATTAATATTTTCAGAAGAGTCCTACTTGTGTCTACACAGCCACCAAGAGAGCAATGTGGGTATTTTAGGCTCACAAATCTGTTAGCATTTGAGGTGCAATAATAGCTAACATTTATGGCAGGCCAGGAAAGAGCCATTGTAACCTGGTTTTGCTCACACAGTTAGCTCTGAATCGCTCTATAAGAAGGGGGATCAATTCTCTTCAACCTTACAGAAGAGGTTTCTGGCGGTCTGGCCACCACCCCACTCTGGTGGGATTCCAACCCATCAGAAGGAAGGGTTCCTCTGTCAAGGCAGGACCGGGAACAGGGAGTGGTCTGTTGGATTGGGGGAGTGCAAAGGGCACTTTTTCAGCATCGAAAAGCACATTTAGTTGAAAACGGGGCGGGGGAGGGGCTGTGGAATTGCTCCTTCTGTCACGGAGTGAAGGCTCAAATCATTTCTGATGTCTCCGTCTTTTCTCCCCACTCCCACTGAGGAAGCAGGGGCCCCAGAAGAGAGCCTGGGGGCAAACAGCCCAGATTCACTGGCATTAAGCAAGATGGGAGGGAGGACGGAAAGATGCTGATGTTCTCCTTTCCAAACCTCACTGTTCTATTCCCAAGTCCTGGCCCACATTCATCACAGCCTCAAGGCCAGTACACACTGTCTCCTGGCTTTGAGGGAGGAAGATGGGTGGGTGGGATGGAGCCGGGGAGAGATGTGCCCGGCTCCAATTTTTTTTTTTTTTTAAACAAATAATTAGGCTCTGAAAGGGTGAGGACTTGCTTGAAGTCACACAGCCCATGCTGGAAATGCTCCTTCCCTTTCCCTATTCTCCCGTGCCTTCAGGAAGGGCGTTTAAGGGATTCCCAGCAGTTCCCGAGTATATGTGGAGGCTGCGCACCGGCGTGCTCAAGCGGCTGTGGGCTCAGTCGGCGGAGGACGCCCCGGTGAAGTGTGGAGTTCGCAGCTCGACGCGGCCACCCGGCCTCCCTGTTCCAGACCTTCCCCTCCCAGGCACTGCGTTCTCCGGCCAGGGACAGCACGCGCCAGGCGCAGCCCTTCTCCTATCTTTGCTCTGCGGCTCTCCCTGGGGCCGGAGGAGTCCTGCCGCCTCAAGGCCCCAGTGGTGACAAGAAGGTCCCAGACCTCATAGGAACACCCGAAGGGACCTGCCGCTGGCACCGCTCCTGCAGCCTCCCCAGGCGCTCCCTTCGCTTCCCGGTGTTTCAGGCTCTTTCCACCGCCTGTGTGATCTGGGCGCAGCGCTGGCTGCCACACTTGCAAGTTAGGAAGAAAATGACTTCTTTAGAAGGTGGGGGACTCTGAGATCCAAACCCCTCCAGTAGCGCCTCAAAGGGAGGTGCAAGGGATCCCCACTCTCTCACTTCCCTCCCTTGGGTTCCCTCCACCTTCCTTCGCCTGTGTCCTCCCTGCTTCGGAGTCATTCCTCTAGTGCCTGAGTCTTTCCTCCTCCACGCAGAAAACATCCCCTCCGAGGCACACTCAGGTGATCCTGCCTCATCTCCAGGATCCTCCGCTACCCCCCAGCCCAGGCCACCCCTATTCTAGCAGACACCAGGCTCAACGTTTGGGGTTCCTCCCAGATTTCTCAGCCTGCCCTGCTCACTAGCAACGGCTCCCACAAGAGCCCCGCGTCCTGGTTCCTGGTCCCCATGGGTGAGTCTTGATGAGTGCCCAGGACCCAGGAGACTGAATTTTAAAGACAAGGGCCAGTCCTATAGCAATTCCTGCCCATGCGGAATGTTTTTTTTCCATCTCCATCTTCTAACAAAACCAGAGGGTCCAGGCTGCCCGGCTGGAGAGGTGGGCTTGTGTGTCTGCTTTCTGTGTGGCTGAATATGGCATTGTCCTGGAGTCTTTCTATAGGACTGTGTCATTTGAGGGGGAGCTGTATGTGTCTCTGTGATGTTGTGTTGTTGTGTGTGTCTGTGTCATTACATGTGCTGCCTTGAGAGGGGGCATTTCGAAAATAGTTACCTATGTACTTTTTCTGTGGACCTCCTTATGTGAAAAC